TAGTAGGGGGTACGCGGCGCTGACGGCGGTTTATGAGCACTTCTTAGAAATCAGCTGTGCGGGGTACGGCTCTGGCGAGAGGAACACGTCTTGTGCCTTTTGTTTCAACAAGAAGTGCTGTATGCGTGTGCGCGTCCCCGTGTCCGTGTGCGTTTCCTTGGCACCGGGAAAGGAGAGCAAAGCTCACGGAGAGTGCCCTTTTTTGGACTCCTGGCTACAATCCTGTCCGCTCTGGGGCTAAGAGCTCCGGCCACGGAGAAGGCGTGCCTTTGCTAACGCACGCACACGCCCGCACGCACGCAGGTTCGGAGCGTAATTTGGGACCGGCTTGCAGCTCACACGACACCTGCGTTTCCTAGGTAGATGGGGGGAAATGTATGTGCACGCGCTCACCCGCACACCCACACACCTACGTTTCCTCAGACGTTGCTTTCTGGGCCAGGACTTGGTTCGTTTCATAAGGGATGTACCTCCCTCAACTGTCTTTTTAAAGAGTTTTCTGAACTCTTACAAACTTTTCCTTTAGTCTATAAGAAAACAGTTTCTATTGCAACATCCTCTCAAACCCAGGAAAAAAGAGCCAAACAGTCCATCCCCCCAAAAACCCCAACATTGAAAATCCACGTGGATTTTGCACAATGCATGCATTTGCATTCAGGTTTTGGCCACTGCAAATTCTGCTCCCATTCTGCTAGGCATATTCTGCTCCCTGTTAACTTGGCTTAACTATGGTCAAGAAAATCTGAATTGGCAATGCCAAAATTTGTTACCATCCTTTCTGAAGCTCTCCTGCCATCTCATGAGGAAGGGGATGGTGAGCTATATGCATAGACATATATAATGGTGTTTCACCCAGAGAAGCCTGCTCCTTGTGAAAAATAAAACCAATAATGCTCACAGATACTGGTTTATACAAATATCTTCTGCTGTGGGAATGAATGTTCTGCTTTCAATTCCTTCATCATTAAAACTGAAATTCACCTTTCAGTAATTCTTCAGCTGTTCATGTGTTAAAATTCAACTGGAAGAGAGAAGTATATATATTATTGCTCAAGGTACTGGTCATGATGCTGTGAATCTTGAAAACTGCACTTTTTACAAATCATATCTTTTTAGATAATTAGAATCAACTATTCCATTTGTTTTCTCTTTTCTTTATTCAGTGCTTACACCTTTCAAATACCATCTTGAAAGAAGCACTGTACATAGCAGGATAAAAAATATCTGGTTTTATTTATGAATAATATGGTGTAAGAGTAGACACTTTTCCTCGGGAATTAAAGAAGAGAGATCAGCCTTGCTTAATGCCCCGATGGGCGCCTCTACGAGGGTTTTTAAGTCTTCTTTTGTCCTCGTGCTCGTTTTATTAATTGACCAAAAGAGGTCGCAGGTTGTCCAGGGTTGAGTTACAGACTCACTATCTTGGGAGCCGATCTACAAAGGGAGAATTGATCAAGCACAATACTGCATCTTTGGTTTCAGGTAGGGGATTTTGTTCATTTTTGTTGGGGTTTTGTTTTGGGTTGGTGTTGTTTTGGTTTCCCCAGACTACTGCTGGCAAGTTTGCTGTTACCTTTTTATTTTACTTTGGTTTTAAAAACTGTTTCTAGGTAATGAAGTCCAAATCTTTGGGATTGTCTGGCAGCATGTATCAGGAGAACTGAGGTTAGGTCTAGCAGAAAGAAAAGGCCTTCTTCCTTTCACACTGTATACATAGAGGTATCTTTTCAGTTGGGTGAGCTTTTATAGCATGATGCTTTCAAAACTGAAACAAAATTGCATGGGAAATACTGAGAGAAGGTTAGTAAAATAGGGCAAAGGGAATTAGGGGATGGAAGGAATGAAAGAGAACATCCTTTTCCTTCACCACAGTTGTACACCTCTCACACACTAATACCAGCATAACTTATATTTCAGACTGTGGCATGAACATTTTTATCAAGCTGAATTTTGATTCTTACCATCAGAAAAACATTTTTTTTCTTTCTTTTCTTTCTTTTATAACATTCCACAAGTTGTGGCACACCATTTTGAAGTCCCGTTAATAGAAGGAGATATTTGCAATGCAGGAATTTTTTTTTTAAATACACAATTGGTGAATTTAGTATATATTTTTAAAAAGCATTAAACGAGGTTAATGCAGCATCAGGGTACTTTGAACAAAAAGCACTGCAAATGAAAAATTAACACTGAAAAAGATGTAGCTGAATCACCTTTGCAAGTAGAAAGCCAGTGATGTGTCAAAGATCAAGTCAGTCTGACAGATTTTGCTAAACAATTAGCTGTCTCCACTGTCTTAACCAAAGGGTACTGCATTAAAATACAGTTAAATGAATGACAATATTTGTCAAAGCTATACTTGGCAATCAGAGGATGAATACCAATGTATCTGGAAAGCCAGATTAGAAATTTATAAAGAAAAAAAATACCCTGAAAACCCCAACACACACCTATGGCTAACAGCTGAATTACAGCTGAATTACACTTACAGCCCAAACTTTAGTAAAATCAATGGAATGGTTCTGTATGGACAAGACCAAGGGCTAAATATGCAAAGTAGCGATGTTTATAAAGCTATACCAGATCTGAACTTCCACATTTACATTTACTGTTTATTCTAGAGGCTTTACAATTATTTTCCTGTTTATTCACTGTTACTGGGAGGAGAGAGAGAGACAAAAGTCATATAGGGTTATACTGAACCTCTATAGTCAGTTCTAGACAATGGAAACTTGAAGAGAACCAGCTGAGGAGCACTGAGCATCAGAGAATCCCATGTCCTCCTCCCATCGCTCTAGAGAGTGAAAGTGTCATTTATGGAAGCACAAAAAGAATGTATTTTTTTTCCCCTTCAACTTCATCCTCCCACTTACTTAATATTCAGCTCTCTTCTCTGGTGCCTTAGCTGAACTCATACCTTTTGATACTTTTTCATGGAGGCTGTGTTGCTACAGGGACAAGACACAGAAGCAGAGTTGTGGTTGAAGTAGCTCTACTTTCAGCTGCATGGTCACTTCATGGAGCAATCCTGACTTTTTAGTGTAATACCCTTGTAATGCATATGGTTATACTCCCCAAAATTTAACTGTCAAGAATGTGAGCTTCCCTTATAATGCCATTTTAAAACTTGTGTTATTTTGCAAATCTTTTCCCTTTTCAGACAAAAAAAAAACCAAACCCAAAAACCAAAAAACCTTCGCAGAAATTCAGAAATACATAGCTCTTCTTGGGTTGAGGGCTAAATCCACATTTGTAAAGCATCCCTTAATTTGTGAATCTCTGCTCTTCTTTTTGCAAACCTTGAAGTTTTATGTACAACAAACTTCTGAAGTCAAGAAAAAGTAGGATTTCCTCAATATGTTCTTGCTTTCAGAGGAACAATGCTCAGATTTATAAAGCAGTCAGTTGATATAATACTTAATTTAAAAGATAGTTTCTAGATCACTGGTTTTGCCAAAGCAGGGATTAAGATCTCAGCATTATTGTCAACTGTTTGTAAGAACATAATTTAATGAAAATTTCCTGCAGACCTTCTCCTGCTTTGGGGCTAGACGTGAACATCTCAGGTGTTTTCTGGCTCTTAAGACTCTACCAAGCATGGAGGCTTACCAAGTACAAAATTCTGCTGCACTTCTCACAAATGCCACCCTGTGCTGCTTGTCTGAAGATGGCAATCTGAATTCAGTGTGATGGAACAAACTGAATTTGGAAGCAGATAAAATTAGGAAACCAAAGGAGAAATAACAAATGCTTTGTTGGGAAATCAGCTGAATTGAGACATTTCTTTGCTATCAGAGGCATACATAATGAAAGGACATGTATTGATGGTATTACAGAAACAGTTACCAAAAATTCCCTTCACTAATGGAGATGTCTTGTTAACCCTAAGAGAGGAAGAGCTGATAGGTTTCCTTTTACAAAGCTTTTATCCAGAGCTGTGTTCATCTCTTTTATATACTAGTTAGACATTATATAGTGTGTCTGGCAATAAAAGTCTTACCAAATTTAAAGAGAACAGAGGGATTAGATGGAAGAGGAAATGAAGGAAAAAGTCTAGCTCACAGGACTTCTTCATAAGAAGAGAAGCTATTGCTGCTGGACCAGACGTTCTCCACACCTACACTACAACCTGGGTATTGTGCAAATTCCAAATTGCATGTCATAAGAGATAAAAGGAGAAATGCTGCTACTTCAAAGTGTACAGTCTGCTGGAGCTGGATTTACTGACACTCTTGAACTTCTGTCTGCAAGTTAAAGAAAAACAAAACAAAAAACCAACTTAATAAAAAAATCATATCCTACCTTAAAACCTCAGCGAGGTGTTGAAGTGGAAAGATTATGGATTACTGGAAGCAGGCTACAGCTAAGAAGAGAGTGCATGGAGAACCGACCTTCTTTACGTGTATTTGATTTTGAATTAATACATTATGTTTTAGGTCATTCTATAAATTAGAAGGTCATGAACATACCTAATGTTAAGGGGGACTTGCATACAATTAGGGTCAGAACACAAAAAGTATAAGCAAATATGTGAGAAATTAATTTTGCACAAACTGATTCTTTTCCCTATTCACCAATCTCACAGCTTCATGATACTAGTTTTCAGTACAACAATATCTCACTATATATTATCTATATTACAAATGTTACAGAAAAAAAGGCAGTAATTTTAATGCCTGCAAATCTATGTGTTTTGTTACCATGTGGCCTTCAGACAGAAAACACTCTTAAAAACTGGGAAGGATATAAATTGAGCACGAAAAATACCAAGTTGTAAAATCGTCTGTCACAGACTGGTGTTAGAGTTAAAAGCATATGCTGTGAGTTCCATTGAGAAGTTTCCCCCTAGCTAAAACACGACGTTTTCTGGGGCAATCTGTGAAGGATCAAGATTCAGGATGAGAACAGTTCCAGGCATGGAGGAAGATATACAGCAATTGACAGGACTTTATTATACAGACTTTACAATTATTATGTATTTACACATTGTATGTTTCCCCAGGATTTGTATCTCCCGGGCATGCTCAGGCTTGCCCACTTCCCTGCTTCCCTGTTGATTGGCCGGAGAAGCTGCAGAGAGCAGACAGCCACCATTCGCCCTTTACTTCCCCGGCTCCTCCCACGTTCCTCCCCCTTTTGCCTGTGTCCCTATCCCGATTTGTTTCCCCGTTTGTCTGTCTCATGCTCCACCCCATGTTCTGGCCCTTTCCCCACCTGAACTGATAAAAAAATCTCGTGCACGCCTCAATCGAGGATTCCATCTGCACCCCTACCTTGTCTCCGGACCCATCCGTGCTGTGTCACGGCCCCATCCCCCTCGGACTGTGGCAGCAATCTGTGTGTAAAAGAAGATAGATAGTTTTAAAGTCAATTTTTTTAATTACACAATTTAAAATCACAGATCTCAACCATTTCCATCTGAGAATGGCGTCTCTTAACACTCCATATATATTGCCCTATTAACTGAGCTACTGATCTCAAATTGGCAATATTTGTCATACCTCCTCTCTTTGCAACTCTACTTTTTTTTGTTTTATCTTGGATATCAGACAATGCATCTTAGTCCGACATTGGGCAACATGGGACACCCAAAGCCTTTTCGGTCTCACAGGACTTAAGATCCTTTCTTCTGTCGATCACACTGGGCACATCTCAGGTCTACATGAATGCCTGTTGATATGTATCTTAACCTTCTGGCTGCTAATGCCTAAGAAAGTTATAGGTTATGATTAAATAACCAATTAATATACATATAATTTTTACAAGTAACTCAGATATACAAATAATACCAGGAAATCCACTTGTATTATTTATCATCAGTTCCCACTTTGCTTCAATTTACTCACCTACTGCATTTCTTCATCTAGGATTTTAGTCTTGTGGAAGACAGCATACTTTCCCTTTTATAAGCCATTCATAATTTTGAGTAACTCATCTAGTTAATTAAATAATTTTGATGTCTACCATGGGAATGCTGACAGAGACCAAGTAATACATAATTTCTATTAGCAACCCCCTTTTAAAATATCTCAAATATCAATTCTAAATGAACAGTCTTTCTTTTTTTTTTTTTTGTTCCCCTCACAGTGTAGGCCCATTATTTTAAGACTTCAGAAATAATATTGTTCTCTTGAACATGCAGGGTATAGGGTATACTTCCAACAAAATATGCCAGTTTACATGTTTTGGAGCTTTAAGCACTTCATACTATGTATTGCACAGTATATGCCTAAACAGCCTGTTAGGTTTTCAGTCTGCAATCTTGTTTTCTTTACAACAAGATTAGTGTGGGACCATGCAGAGAACTGTAGCAGAGCAAAATCAGAGTACAAAAACTGTAGCTTCCTATGGGAAAATTAAGTTTCCTATACTTATTAAGATTAGTGTAGACTCTTTAAAATGTAAGAGAAAATCTTGTGGATAAGAGGTGTCTAATTGCTTGTTTCACAAGCAAGTATTTTTGATAGATGTTCTGTTGATTGCAAATATGTCTTCAGTGAACATTTCTGCCTTTTCCTGAAGCAGAACAGGAATAAAAAATCAAAGCATGACTGAGTCAATACTTGCTGGAAAATTCAAATGGTTCTACAAGGATGAGATATCTCTTGATGACAGAAGACTGGCACAGTCCAGTAGTACCACTATGGTACAATCTAATCCTAAATCCATCAAATGTAGTGAGAATCTCTGTCCTTTTAGGAGCCATTAGTTAGGGTCTTTAACTGGAGCATAGCTTCATGCATGAATTTGGCCCCTGGATGTGGAAACAGCAGAGAAGGATCCTCAGATCTGCTATAGACTGAAAAGAAGAATTTCACAGTAAAACAACCAAAAAACCACTTTTTTCAATGAGCCATGCATAGAAAGAGAACGGAAATACATATGATGTATTTGATGACACATGCTCAGTGTCACGTGCTGTCTGATGCTTCATGTTGTTGTTCTGTTTTTCAAAATTCCATCTCCCTGTGGGTTAGTCAGAAAGTTATTGTGATTTTTTAAAAAAGTTGTAAATAGGCTGTTACAAAGTTCAGCACAGTTATAATTGCACAAAGCCTATCTCTGCAATTCACAAGAGTGTTGTAGATCTTGGTTTTGGCTTTGAGCCACAAACTCTGTCAGTTCTTAGGAGAATCTGGAAAGTTAAATCACAGCATATAAACAAACATTCTGCTTCTTCTCTGTACAGTAGTTTCTCAGAAGGATAAATGTCACAAATGATGGCAGAAAGATATGTACATCTCCTTGCTATATATATTGTCACGGAATATTCTGAGTTGTAAGGGACTCACAATATGGGCATGACCAGAAAAAAGGGGACTAAATCAAATCCCGCTCTTGCTGCTGAAGATCGGCAATATTCCCAATGACATGGAAACATTTAGATCTGAACTAAAAAGTGGACCTTTGATCCATGAGCATAAAGAGACATTAGGTCTAGTAGACTAGCCCAAAATACAGGTTTGAAGTGCATTCTGTACTCACTACTTCAACTAACTGATCTGATAGCACTACAACAAACTACTCAATCATCTAGATTTTTATAGGCACCTGGAGTTGCAGCACAGTCCCTTGGAAATTTTCTGTTGTTTACTAGAGGAAAAGGACTGTGGTCTATTTATTATTGAACATTACATTTAATTTGAAAATTTAGGCATTTGAGGCTCACCTGCTAAAATTAAAGATGAGAGGACAAGGCCACAAGTTGTGCCAGGGGAGATTTAAACTGGATATTAGGAAAAATTTCTTCACCAAATTGATTCTCAAACACTGAAATAGGCTACCCAGGGAAGTGGTTAAATGACCATGGAGGTATTTAAAAAACATGTAGATGTTAGGGACATGGTTTGGTCGTGGACTTAGCAGTATTAGGTTAATGGATGGACTCAGTGATCTTGAGGGACTTTTCCAACCTAAATGATTATACGATTCTGTGATATCTGAACAGAAGTCACTGAATGAAACACTACTAGCTGTCACTTAAACAAAATAATCTCTCATGAGGAGTTAGTTTTAGGAAGCTACACTATGACAGTCATATAATTTGTGGAGTCCATTTCACCTTGTACTCCCATTGGTTTGACTGTCCTTTTATAACATTAGTAAAAATTCGTGGAGCTAGAATGTTGAAAAGTTGGCAGGACGGGAAAGAGAATGAAACCCTACATATCAGACCTCACTTGGCAGTAAATTTTGGGAACATAACACTTCACTAGTAGATTAAGAGAATGAATGCATCTTTCACCTCATTAGCTAGAAAATGTAAAGGACATTAGGCTACTGTTGTTTATTGGTATACAAAATACAACCTGTTCAAGAACTTGTTATGTATGGGATGTTGGTTTTGAATCCAGAATTCAACTCTGAAGGAAGAATTCTGAAGTCTGCCTTAGAAAAGTACTAAATTATGGATGAAAACTGACTGAATCTGATGCAATTTCTTGCATTGCCCAGCAGTTCCTCCCCCCAAAAACAAGAAAAAATTTCCCAGGCTTGCAGAAAGATCAGTCTACCCCTGTTCTTATTGACTTTTATATCTTAGTCACTCCTTTAGACTATTTCTGCACTAAAAATCTTTGTTGAGTTCAGCCAGATGGTTAAAAGTATGATGATGGCAGTTTTTACTGAGATATATATACATTTAAATACTTGCTTACAGTTTTAATATCACAGAAGGACATGAAAAGTGTTGTACCAACAAAGATAATAGTCCTATTTCTGCAGCTGTGTCCCTCCTATGTGCATTTTGTACAATTTACAACTGTTTCAGCCTACTAGAAAAGTGATTTCGAACAGATGATTCCTGAGCTTTTTGGCCTCATCTACAATCAAATTTCCTAGCAATAGTTCTTATTTTTCCATATAAGAGCCAAAGATAGAGGCTGTCTCTTTTCATGTTGTCGTTTAAAACTTTACTCTTCATTTTAACCAACCTAATTAATTTCCTTAAACTGTTTCTAGTTCATAAATGCCTCTCTAAGGAAAATACAGTATGACAATTATAGTCACCGTCTTCCATGAACCACATATACAATTGCATATTTTATCCCTATTTATTTGAATAAAAAACAGATACCCAATATGATTTTGAAAGGAACAAGCCATAGCAGCATTTTACAATTAATACAAAGATAATGGGTCTACTGACCCCAAAATATGAGAACAATAAGCTCAAGAAAAAGCCTGTTGCAATCGTACTGTTGATAATACATACCAACATAGCTTAGGACTTTCACTAATACTATCAACTTTATTCAGTATATACTTTCCTGTAAATCTTCATTGCTCCTCCATGTTCCTAGCACTGCAAACAATCAGCTCATCTGAGTGCAGTGTATGACTTTAATCTACTTTTTTTCTTAATAATTGAAGTTTTTGTTATTTAGAATTTTAAGTCAAATCCACTTATGGACTGAATTGCCTTATAACTGTCTACACTGAGAATTTGCTCAGATGAGAGGTTAATTTGAATTCACTTTAGAGAGAGATTAGATCAAGTTTTCTAAGCTAGGTTACCTCTCTATAAATCTAAAGACTTGACCCCCAAGTCAAGTCATTATTATGGGAATTGCATACTGTTATATATGACACAATAATAATAATACATAATAAAAATATCTATATGGATGAATGTATGCAAATAGAGACACATATAACTATAATAAACTTCCTATCAGAAAATGTGGATCACACGGTCAGCCCCACATCTATATGTGTGACCAAAAGAAGGAACTCAATGGAATGCTATTAAAACCTAATTTTTTAATTATTCTTAATTAGATGTAAGCAAAAAGTGAAAATATGCCTCAACAAAATGGAGCAGTTTTGCTTTAATAATCTAACCAGAGGTCCAAAACCACTTTTGACTGAAAAAGATGAATAATAGCCATCGGATTTTTTTCCAGACAACTGAACAGACTAGCAGCTCAAAAATCTGGAAATTATTAAACATATAAATACCACCCCACTCCCCCTTTGGGATGTTAAAAATATTAGAAACAATAGAGAATCATTTGAACTAAGTCATCTGATGTCTTATGTTGTGGAATCTACAAAATGTGGCAATAACAGACAATACAAAAACATAAAGTTCTTAGAAGAAATCTACATTTGGAAATAATTTGTTAAACTGTGAATTTTGCACTTTCAAAAGCAACAGCATCGTGATTTTTAACCACGCATTAAAAATATGCTAGTAGTAGTAGTAAGATGAAGGCAATATTTTATCTCTTCTGGAGACATTATTATTTCCATATGGTGCAATACCTTTCACTCAATTATGATAAACTATAATACTGATTGCTACGGTAACTGTGCCTTTAATTTATTCTATTA